TTTGTCTTTAAGGCAATCATTGTCACTTCTGTGAAGTCCTTGGGCCACTCCCCAGTTTCATATATGGTGTTTATTAGTTTTGTCAGTGTTTTCAAACCACCTTCTCCCGGTAACTTAAGCACATCTCCAGGTACATCATCATCTCCTGTAGCCTCTCTGTGTTATTAAAAACAGCAGCCAAGGTTCATCATGGACTGCAGGACCTATAGAATAGTAGTAAAGATAATCGTACCGGATGAACTTACCTACTCAATGCTCGACCACCTCATCGGACAAAGGTTTACTTGCTGCCTTTTTTATTTCAGAAAAATAAATGTACGTACAAAAAAGGCCTAGGCATTGCCCATCCCGGCTGCACTCTCGTATTTACTTCACTTCTGCCATCTCTTGGCCGATCGTGAAACTACTTTGTGCAGAAAAATTCAAAAGAAGCGGGGAGCGGTGGGAGTATCTGACGTGAAGTGAAAGGGGAGTGTGTTGTGGATCCATTAATCGGATGTAGTTGTGGTTGTGTCTCTTGTAAAATCGTACATTCCGCGTAGTAATTAAATTATGAGGAACTGAATGTCAGTGTCAATAATTGCATTTCAGTTATATTATGCTTTTTCTAATAGGTGAATAAACAGGGGGTGTTCTGATAGAAACAGAAGTGAATATGGCAGGGAGGTTAGAAGACGAATATTGGCATGCCAGTGAAACGAAAGCATTCAACTTTGAAGATGATGAAGTAAGTGTAGTGTACAGTTTCAGTTATCATAAGGCCAAATTGAAACGAAGACTGATCTGTGGTGTGTGATATATTGCAGTTTGAAAGTCAGTTGTGCGGTGTGTCAAAAAGCGGAACTGCAAGATTGTCGCAAAGAGTCAGAGAAGGAATGGGCGGCGATAGCGCTTGTTTGAGTGCAGACTCCCTCTCAGGTAAGTTCCCTGAAACCTCAAAAGGATTGTAGGGTAAAGATGGTTGATGTTTGGCGGGTGATGTTTTTGTAAGAGTAGACTGTGACATGCGTTGAAATAGAAAATATTACTACTCATCAAACAACAATCAGTTAAGAATACGGCGACTATACATTAGCTGGAATAGTGTGCACATTGTATGCCATTGCAAGAACTTATTCATATTCAGTGGAGTAAGACCTGAAGCAGGCAGGGTGGCTGTGTCTTTGGTGGGGATGTATCATAGACCAGGGATGCGTTGAGACACAGCTTTGGAACACCTCCTCGTGGTCCTGCTGGGCAACGACAGTCTTGGGCGTCTGCATTAGTATGAGCTTCCGGGGCTGGCGGCTGAGTTTCCATAAAGGGCAATGGATATTTGACCAGAGCCTCCCACGCGGCGGCATAATGACTCGTGGGTTTCATTACGATGTACCCGGGACGAATGCGGGAGAACACTCCTATGGGGGTAGCTACGGCTGTTTGAGTTGTCTCCCTAGAGTACTGATAAGATGCCGCAAGCCTTAGGGCTCAACACTCTAAAATGGTTTGACCAACCCATGTGGAGGGGCGGGAATGGGGGCGCTCTGAAGCAACATCCAGGGGCGATAATCTTGTGTAGGATGTCCTGGTCGCAACCTCATGACAATTAGTATCGCACTCCCAGTTATCTGGGATACCCCCTCCCCCGAACATGCACTCTTGGTCCTGGAGGCTTGTGAGGGTTATACTTATGAAGGACCAACCGCCTAAGCCAAGGTGTGAGGCATCGTGCCGAGGGCTGCATGGCACTGGGGTGGTTATTGGCCAGTGTCGAGAACGATACCCTCGGGGCACCAGGCAACACCCCGTTGTATTTATGCCTTCCACCCGTATGGGGCTGTGCGGGTGGTGACCTTTTAAAACCCCATTACTCGTGGGACTGAAATGAAAAAAGGAACCAAATCAAAAACCGGTCACAAGGACCTTAAACTGAAGAGGGATCCCCCTTCAAAGGGATCCCTACGAGAAATGCTTCAGCAGGGAGCTGGAAGCTCTGGTGAACCATTAAGGGGCCCAGTTGAAACCGGCGAACCTGCTGTTGAAATTTTAGCCAAAGGCAAGGATGAACCAGTGATTCAAAACTTGCCAGAGGCAAAACTAAAAGCTACTCTCCTGGGGGTCGGTAGTACTGACACACCACTGCAGGGAGCCAGTACTTCTAACATACCTGCAGTAGGGGAAAGACTGGGACACCTAGGCTCTGGAGTAAGTGGACCCTGTCTGGCGAAGAAAGCTTTGTCTGGATGCGCTAGATGGAAGTTAAAAAAGGCAAAAGCTGAGACAAGCAAAGCAGGAACTGGGAGCAGTCAGAAACCAGGAAATGCAAGCTTGTCCAAGCAGTGAGAAACACCCACCGGCACCTTTAAGAGGCCAAAGTCGGAGGGCAGTACCCCTACAGAAACGGCCAAAACTCTAAAAAATCCCAGGGACTGTAAAGGACCAGGGACTTACAAGCAGGCTCTGACCAATATAAAGGTAGCTATCTTCAAGGAAACTTACCCTGAAGATAAGCTTACCGAAAACGACCAAAATTCCATTCTGGAAGCATTGGGCGAGGTGTTACGTAGGACTCCAAAGGAAGAACTACCACACCTGAAATCCTACAGACTGTTGGGAGGTGCACTTATTTATATATGTGCCGACCAACAGTCTGGTCAATGGCTCATCAGAGCTACAGGCTCAAATCAGGGACCAGGCTGAAGGCTACTGATGCCAGGAACCTGCCTAAGCCTGTTAAAGTAGCTCTTCAGACTACGGACAGAATTGCCCAAAACCAGGAAGAGCTGCTGAAATGGATTGCAGACCTTAATTCGGGACTTCATACGAAGAACTGGAAGGTACTAGACAAGCAGTCCGAATCGAAAGGCCAAAGACTTACCTTATTCATAGACCGGGACTCCCATACTATTATACAGAGGACTGGTTACAAAATATTTACAGGACTCTCACAGGGGACTGTTAAGGTGCTGGATGATCCTGAAGTTCAGCGCCGGGCAGAACCCGTGACAGACACTGTATCTTCTAACTCGGTCTCTGAGGAGGAAGAGGATGAAGTACCAAGCCCCCCGGATGACTAAAGCAAAACGGATCAGGGGACCCCTTCACACGGAACCCAGTCCGAGAACGGAGAGGGACATAAGATAGAAATTGACCCCTCCTCAGTTGGAAGAGATCATGAATTTTCTTCAGATTAACCTACACCACAGCAAAGCTGCCACGGCAGCTTTGTGCCAACAGCTAGCTGAGGGTAAGGCAGATATAGCACTTATTCAGGAACCTTGGATATACAAGGGTCAAATAAGGGGCTTAACTAATACAGGGGGATCAGTTTACTCTGTTGTACCCAGTAATAATGCAAGATCTTGTGTTTATATCAGGAATCATGTTAATGCCCTGCCTTTGCTGGAGCTCTGTTCAAGGGATACAGCGGCGGTAAGGATAACATATCCATATCGAGAGGGCAGCAAGGAGCTGATAGTTGCTTCAGTCTACCTTCCATATGACTCGGATGGACCACCACCAACTAAGGAAATGAGGGACATCACAGACTACTGCTTTAGCAGGAAAAAGCAACTCATCATTGGGTGTGATGCCAACGCGCACCGCATCTTGTGGGGGAGCACCGGCACTAACCCAAGGGGAGAGAGCCTTATGGAATTTCTTGTGAGTTCGAACCTGAATATTCTAAACCATGGTAACGAACCTACCTTTGTGGTTTGCAATAGGAAGGAGGTTATTGATTTGACACTAGGGACAAATAAAATAGGAAACCTGGTAAGTAACTGGCATGTATCTGATGCTCCGTCTCTATTGGATCACAGATATATATGCTTAAAAATAAGTAACATCACAGTAGATCAAACTACTTATAGGAATCCTAAGAGAACCAATTGGGAGTCTTATAAAGACGACCTAAAGTTAAATCTAGAGGCCATCTTGCGTAATATATGCACGATAAAGGATGTTGATCAGTCTGTTGACCAGTTGCAATGTGCTATTATTTCGTCCTTTAATCAGAATTGTTCAGCTAAGACCACTCACGGACCAAGGAGAATGCCTTGGTGGAATAAACAGCTGAGTGGGCTTAGGATCAAAACAAGAAGGCTGTTCAATACAGCTAAAAGAACAGGGCAGTGGGACACCTATAAGGAAGCCCTTACGTGTTACAATAAAGAAATAAGGGAAGCCAAGCGATCCTCATGGAGGAGACACTGCCAGGACATCAATGATGTACCAGGAGGTGCCATACTCATGGGAATCATGGCAAAACAGGCGACCAACAAGGTCAGCACAATTAAGCTGCCTAACGGACAGTATACTCAAACAGGAAGGGAGACGCTGAATGAATTATTCAGGGTTCACTTTCCTGGTTCAAAATTGATTGACAGTTTGGACGATGGGCAGGGTCAGCAAAATCTGGGCACTTGCAAAAGCACGATGAACAGGGTAGACTGGAACCTGGCCAAAGCCATAATTAATCAATCAAAAATAAGATGGGCAGTGAACACTTTCAGACAATTTAAATCAGCGGGAACAGATGGAATTGTACCGGAACTTTTGCAGCATGGGGTAGAACTCTTAGTTCCACACCTATGCCGCATATATAGAGCCAGCATGGCATATGGTTTTATCCCAATGGCATGGAGGCACGTTAATGTGACATTTATCTCAGAGCCCTGGAAACTAGATTACACCAAGGCTAAGGCTTATTGTCCTATCAGCCTGTCATCTTTCTTGTTGAAAATGATGGAGAAAATAGTGCATAGTCATATCAGGGACAGGGTATTGAGGACATATCCTCTACACCGAAACCAACATGCCTACCAAACACATAAATCTACCGAAAGTGCACTACACAATGTGGTAACATGCATAGAAAGTGCAATTGAACACAAGGATATTGCCTTAGTAGCATTCCTTGATATAGAGGGAGCTTTTGATAGAACCTCATTTGATATAATCAAACAGGCTGCTGGAAGGCATGGCATAGAGCCTGCAATATGCAGATGGATCAATGCTATGCTGGAAAGCAGAACCATAGCTGCTACATTATCAGGAGAAACCCTGGGGGCATCCGCGTCCAGGGGATGTCAACAGGGGGGCATACGATGGGGTACCCAAAAGAAACCGAACTAATTTTTTTGTGGGCAGAGCTTTTGTAATACCGCGTTTTGCCGCTATGAGCGCATAGAGCTAACATTCCTGAGTCGATAAGCCGACTACCGTTGCTTCAGAAGGTAAGGACTAGTTTCGGCAGAGATTATAGTGACAACTGTTTTGTGTGATCGTCGTTTTT